TATTTAAGGTCACACTGTGGTTTTGCTACTTTTATACTAAAAAATAATAAGGAAAATTGAAATGGCAAATTAAAATTTATGATTTCAGAGGTCTTAGAAGTTATTATAGCTAAGAATTACAAAAGAAAAGAGCAAAGAAATATTTTCTTGGCTTTGTGATATAAAATAAACAAACTTGTCCCACTGAACTATTTCAAGAACCTCAGTACTTCTTATTAGTCACCATAAAAACACAAGAAAATCTTCACTAAAAATAAAAGATATTTCTCAAAAATGAAATCAGGAATCTTCCTTGATAGTTTTATTTAAGGTTAAAAAAAATATGTGAATGATGATGGTACAGAGGCCAGAGGAAATTCTCAGTTCTATTATTTCTGTCAAAAAGTTTACAGAACACTTCTGTACATAGTGTTTTAGCTTTGACAGGCAAGTATAGGCTCTTGCTTTTAGAGAGAACTAGTTTATACCGAGCACTTCCTCTCTGGATTAGCTGCTCTAACTGCATCTCAACCTGGGACTGAATTTGGTACTTTTCCTGCTTTACAAAGGAGTTTTAAAAAAGCTAAGTTAGACACCATGAGGTACAGTTGTAGACTTACAAATTTTGTGCTTGGGTTTCAATTATACAATGATCAAATAAAAAATAAATTAAAAAAAAAAAAAGCTAAGTTGCCCAGGGAGATGATAGAAAGAAGCAGAGCTGCACTGGACATGGATCTGTTCAACTCCATAATTTTTTGCTTATTTGTTTTTCAGCCACACTCAGAAGTGCTCAGGGGTTACTCCTGGTTCTGCAATCGGGGATTACTCCTGGTGGGATTTGGGGACCATATGGCCTATGTCAGGGATCAAACTGTGGTTGGCCACAAGCAAGGCAAACATCCTACCTGCTGTACTGTCACTCTGGCCCCCAACTCCATACGTTTATTTACTTTTATTTGTGTAGGTGAATAGTGCACAGCTCTCTACACTGATTTTCTAACTCCCTCACACAGTGATACTCCACCCTGTCTTCATTTAACAGGTATTTCCTAGAGGTTGCCCCCCCCCCCAAAAGCTAAACTATCTCCCATAGGAAACATTCCCTGCACCTCATAGAGAGGTATTTCTCTACCGACTATACCAACCCACACCTGCTCACCCTCCCAAGATAGGAGAGTGATTTCATTTATTCACGGTCAGTCAAGATGTTTGCTATTTATCTAGAAAGTTCCTAGGACAAATTATGCGAGCTCAGGTAAGAGAAAAATTCAGTAGTTATCCTTGCATATCTAGAGGGGATTAGTCCCAAGGCTCCCTATGAATACCAAAATTTATGACTATACAAATTCCTTATATAAGATACAGAGTATTTTCATATAACCTAAGCAAATCCTTCTGTATACTTAAAAATCACACATATTTCTTATAATACCTAACACTATATAAATTATTATAATACTATAATATTATTTTGGGAAAATGACTAGAAGTCAGACATCACAATCATAGGTCTAACGGCATAGGTGTTTACCACCCAAGTTTGGTGGTATCCATCGATGTGGACCTTCATACTGAGGACTAACTGTTCTGCTTTGAGAACAAATACCAAAATGCATCAAATACATAATGATAATATCTGCCCATATCTCTGGTACCCAGTGCCAAGATCAAAAGTCCATCTGTCTTCTTACCAATCCATACTTTCAGATTCCCAAGATTTAAAGCCTGGACCCACAGCATGTTCAGGGAATAAGGTTCTCATTTGGGAGCTGATTATTTTCAAATGTGAGATAAAGACATTAAAAGTGTGCTGTAGTTTTTGATACCTGGTTTGTGAACTGTAGGAAAAAGAGATTTGGGACAGAAGTGAGATTGTGTCTATCATTGTGGATAGGTACATGGAAAGAAGAGAGTTCTTGAGTGACAAGGCACTGAAAGCCTATTAGTCAATAAAATCAGAAGCTGAGAAGATAAGGGAAAGGTATTTTATAGACCTGGCTGGAAGAGCTATTGAAATATCAGGGAATACTAAAAAAGGACTTCTTTTATTAAAATATAATTTTCTGTGTGTTTAACTCATCTGCCCTCCCAACTCCTCTTCCCTTCCTACTATAGAATTAGGGCCCCAGGTCACCTCCAGTCTTCTTGGGATTCCTTGGCCAGGGAGTTGGGTGAGATCAAATTAGAGAAGATGGGCTTTTTTGGTGCTGGCCCGGCCATGTTCTTGATTTTGGTTATCTTTTCTCGGGCCAGTTGGCATTTTCTGAGGCAAGGTCCACATAGATCTTTTTCTTCCACCAGATATAACTTATCCAATCTCTTGATGTTATCTATAAACTCCTCTGCTTCATCAGTCTTGGGAAAAGGGTTTCTCTTTATGTTGAGCTTTTTAAGCTTGGGGAGTTTGGAGATGCTCTGTGGGATGGCACTTAGCAGGTTGTCATGAAGTCCCACCTCATGGAGCTCCTTCAGAGCACCCAGTGTGGTAGGCACGCTGTCTAGATGGTTCAAGCCCAGATTCACTGTACGGATATTCTTGAGTTGATTGAGCTCCACAGGAAGTCCATTGGTGGTCAGTCTGTTATTGCTGACATTCAGGTAGAGCAGAGTTGTCATCTGGCCAATGCTATCCGGAAGCTTGTCGATGTAGTTGCTGTGCAGGTCTAGCCATCGCAGGTTCTGGAACTTGGAGATCTGATCAGGGATCTTCCTAATCAAGTTCCGGCTAAGATCGAGCTCGTCCACATCAGTTAATCTCAGAATACACTTGGGGAAGGTGGTAATTCCCATTTTGCTTAGGTCAAGGCGTTTTTTCCCATCAAATGTGATTTTGATACAATTCTTTGCCACACTGAGTGTTATCTTCTTGCCCTTGGCGGGCTTTCCTGTACTCTTGACCATGGTGTTTCAGTAGGAGAGTGTGTCTCTGATGAATGTTGTGTGGACCGGTTGGTAATTGGAGGAAAATAGAAAATGAGACTGCTAGAAAAGAGCCTATGAGAAGAAAAACATGTAGTTAGAAAATGACACGAAAATAGTGGATTATAATAAACTCAAAGTCAAAGGCAATAAAACAGCAAAGCAAAAATTAAAACTTCTCAAATCTTAATGAAACATTTTACCACAGAAGTTATATGGTCGATAAACAAGTGCACAAAATTGTTTAGCATCCTTAGTCAATAGGCAGAATGGAAGTGAAATTCATAATCAAATGCTATCACTGTTTATTAGAATGTCAAAAATAAAAGGCAAACGCTGGGGGCTTGAGGGAAAGAATCTACATTCGAAGAAGCTTCTGTGTGAGGATTTGGGAAGTGGAGGAGGACGAGAAGAGCACAGAGACATTAGCAGCGCCTCCCCCCTCGTTCTTTAATTTGTTCCTTTTTCACCTGTCGGCTGATCCCGAGAGTGTCAAGTCCCTGCGCTACTCATCTAGCTGGCAGTTTGGGAGAGGTATCAATGCTGCGTGCTTATTAAGGCTTGGTGGTTGGTTCCTGCAAGAGTGGGGAATGACCATGGCTTGGAGGCCAGCCGCACATGCTAGGGGAAAAGGCAGCTCAAATAGAGAAGGGAGCACCAAATAAAGGGTGTTGGGAGGATCCTCCCAGGATTGATCATTGTATAACTGAAACCCAAGCACAAAAATTTGTAAGTCTACAACTGTACCTCATGGTGTTTCACTAATAAAAATTTTTTTAAAAAAGAAATAAAATTTAGTGGGGAAACATATCAATATCTATATCTAAAAAAAAGAGTGGGGAGTGATATGAAGTCTTGACTTTTGAATGAAGCTCATGGTTTGAGGATTGGTGAAGAGGAATCCTGAGGCCTGAGTGAGTACAGCAAGTAGGGCATTTGTCTTACACCTCCAAGAGTGGCCCCCCAAAATAAAATAAAAAGAATAATCTTTCAGTTACACACTTCACTCATCTGTTCCTAAATGTAACCCCATATGTTGTTCCTAAGGCATTTCATGGAAGAAAGTTCTTGGAAATATAAAAATTGCGGGTGGGGACCAAAAAAAAAAAAAAAGAGGATGGATAGTGGTGATGGGTGTGCAGTAGCAAAACAGGTGTACTTAAGGGCACTGAATTGTGCTTTTATAAGTAGTTAAAAGGATCGCTTTTGTTACATGTATTTTTACCACAATAAAAATTGGAATTTGAAGAAAAATAAACAAAGAAATAAATAAGGCAAAATTAAACATAAAAAACAGAGAACAAAGTGTAGTGGGAATGTGGAACACCTAGAGCTTTCACATGTTGCTGTTAAGACTTCAATTGCCCCTTCCTTCCTTCCTTCCTTCCTTCCTTCCTTCCTTCCTTCCTTCCTTCCTTCCTCCCTCCCTCCCCTCCCCTCCCCTCCCCTCCCCTCTCCTCTCCTCTCCTCTCCTCTCCTCTCCATCTCTTCTCATTCTTGCCTTCTCTTTTTTCTTTTTATCCTCCTCCTTCATCTCCCTCCCCTTCTCTTCCATCTTTTCTTTCTTTCTTTCCTTTCTTTCTTTCTTTCTTTCTTTCTTTCTTTCTTTCTTTCTTTCTTTCCTTCTCTCTTTCTTTCTTTCTTTCTTTCTTTCTCTCTCTCACCCCTCGCTCCCTCCTTTCTTCTTTCTTTCTTTCTTTCTTTCTTTCTTTCTTTCTTTCTTTCTTTCTTTCTTTCTTTCTTTCTTTCTTTCTCTCTCTCACCCCTCCCTCCCTCCTTTCTTCTTTCTTTCTTTCTTTCTTTCTTTCTTTCTTTCTTTCTTTCTTTCTTATTTCTTTCTCTCTCTTCCTCTCTCTTCTCTCTTCTCTCTTCTCTCTTCTCTTTCTCTCTATTTCTCTTCCTTTCTCCCTTCCTTTCTCCCTTCCTTCCTTCCTTCCTTCCTTCCCTCCTTCCTTCCTTCCTTCCTTCCCTCCTTCCTTCCTTCCTTCCCTCCTTCCTTCCTTCCTTCCTTCCTTCCTTCCTTCCTTCCTTCCTTTCTTCCTTTATTTCTCTCTTTCTTCCTTACTTCCATTTATCTCTCCCTCCCTCCATAATTCTTTCTTATTCTCTCATGCCTTTAAGAGACAGCCATATGTTTAGGACTGTTCCCCTAAATGGAGCAGAAGATTGCTGTATATCCTGTTAAATTCTGCTGTTAGGATGAAGCACAGCAGGCAGGCAAAGGACAAAAGACAAAGGGTTTCAATTTCAAACCAACCATATTCATATCACATGACCCATCATTTCCCCAACAACAAAAATTTACTTTAAAAAATCTCAAAACTTACTCTTACATAAAAACTGTCACATCTGTTTATAGTTTTTCTATCCATCATTGAAATTGCAAACCATTTAAAAATAGTACAAATGTCTCTTACTCGGTGGATAAAGAAATGTTAGCATATCATAATATACTATTAATCTCAGGGGGGTGAATCTATTGGTATGAGATAACTTGAATTAATCATAAAAGCATTTGGCTGAATCAAAAAAAGTTAAATTCAAAAGTCTAAATAATAAATGATTCCACTGAGATGATATTCTGGAAGAGTTGCAACTGTAGATATAGTAAACAAATGGGTAGGATTCAGGGATTAAGAGTGGGAAACTGACTACGAAGGGAAATTTGAAGTATATGAAATGCTGACCAAACTCTCTCCTGACCATATGAGTTTGTGACATCCTGGATAAGAAGGGGTGCTTCAGCAGACTGGAGATCTAGCCAACTGGGCTCAACTGAGACTGCTCCCCACGTCCCCCACTGCCATGACAAGAAACCCTTGAACTCTTATGAATGATGGGGATGAAGCAGCATGGAGCTCTCTACAGAGCCCTTTATTAAGGCGCCTCTCTCCACAGGCCTTTTGGCTCTAAGCCTACTCATTAATCACCTGCAAGGCAAAGTAGGGGCTGGCTGGGATGGTGCACTTCACTTCCTCCCCAGTGAGTCTAGATCCTGAGAAGGTCCAGGTCAGACTAAAGCTGATCAGCCCCACCCACTTCAAACTTCTTCTCAGGGCCGCCGTACTTGATCAAGACCCTTGGTCTTGTTTACAGAGGTCAGGCATGATGTTGTTAAGGGTCCATCCTGACACCCTCTACCTTCTCCTCAGCAACTTGATGGCACTGGAAACAGAAAAATGCCAGATCCCTCAGATATCACATTTCTTATTCAAGTTTGTGTGGCCAGCATGCTATGCAGGCCTTCCTGTTGAGTAGGAAGTTAAGAGTTGACAAAAGAAGTATTAAATACATGGTCTTTTGGTATGTAAAAAAATAGGTTAGATGATATCGTATCACTGATTTCTATAATTCTCAGTTGTCTGAGTAGGACCAATGCAAACAGGGAAGCTAGAAAGCATAGAGAGACATGTAGACAGGTTAATTGATTAATAGATAGGTAAATAAACTGATGGTTGGGTAGTCACATAACATATTTCATTCTTACGTGAACAAATTGGAAGCTGCTAAAATATTGTCTTTTTTCTTGTGCATAGGTTTGTATGCTTTGGAAAAACTGAACCATTTGGTTTGATTTTAATTTCTAATTAATGTTTTTATCTAGTCATTGTGAATCACACAGCATGGTGGGACACCCCATGGATATCTGAATTAAAAGTGTAATGGCAACCAATAATTTAATGCCATTAAAATACTTGCAAGCATTTTTAGTGGTAAGATTGTTTTTATCAGTATAACAATAGGATTTTGTTTGGGGCTTTACATCCATGTATCTTGTTATTTTTAAGTAAAAATGGCTGTATTTCTGACATCAGAGAATGTCTTGCTAATGTGATCTCAGAGTAGTTACTTCACTCTTTTGAATGGATACATTGAGATAGGATAGATATATGGTAGAATAGAAATTCCCAAAGTGTCCTCCTCTTCATGTCAATATTTGAGGTTAACTCCATGAACGCTTCATGCCAGCTGGCGAAGAAATATTTCCTGCTTGTGGGCAGGAAATATTTTTATGCAGAATATATTTATAAATATTCTTATGCAGAGTAATATAAACTTCCCTTCACAAAAGTGATGCATCAAAGGCCATTGAATTTATTTTCTTTCCTGACCCTCATGTCATTATTCACTGGACATGTAACAGATTGACACTACCTCTTTGATGACTTAGAAGATGGTTCCAAATCGTTCCCTGAACTCTTCACTCTTTCCCAAAATGACATTTTCATATGATAAGTCATCTGGATATGTGGGCATTTATTGTGAGCTGTGTGTCGACTGTTAGGAGAAAGAAATGCTCTCTGTCCAGTGCCCACTCTGGGCCAGGAACTGAACTCTGCTACTTAGCTGATAAGATAAACAATTATGGTCTCTGCTATGATAATGCACTTCGAAGTGTTATCTATATTTTAAAGTAGAGACTCATTGGGATAAGTATAAGCTTAAGATGTTTCCCCGTCCCCTAAACTGTTCTCAGTTGTGTTGTGACAAGCGCCACTCCTGTCAGAATGACATATTTCTAGAAAGGGGACAGACTCAAGTCAGAAAGCTCACCACAACAGCTTCTAATTCTGGGAGGATGTGATAGGAGACAGTGAGCAGGAGAAAGACACAGATCACAGGTCTTACAGAGATCCTATGGTTCGGGGTGATTTTCTCACTTCAACTTTGAAAATTGTCCAGAGTTGCTCACCACCATCCCATCAGGTGACAGGAATTGTGAAGTCATGCTTCTGGCCCTTTCCTTTCTCTCTGCCCTCTAGAGCAGACATGTAAAGTGCCAATCTTATTTTTTTTATGTGAGTGAAGAGAGGCTCACAGAAGAAAGAAACTTATTCCAAAGGCTCACACAAACCATACAGAATACAACCAAAGACACATATTACTGTGCCTGATATTTCCACTGAACAATATTTCTTCTACCCCCCCACCCCAGTTGTCCTTTCTCTAGCAGTGAGAAATACCTCATTCTTGGTGACACATTGCTGGTAGCATTGTCTCCAAGGAAAAGGCTTTCTGTAACCCAGGGCAACAGGCCTATAGGGCCCTTCCACAACAGACAATTGAAGCTACTCAATTCCCATGTTGCCCAAAGGATCGCTGTCCTTTAGGGCATCTATGGGCTCTCTGCTGATGGATGCACAGGTGTCACAGAGTCTTTGAACTTTGAATGACCAACACTGGCTTGGGCCCATTCTGATTCCTCAGTAGTCCACACAACTGACAACTCAAAGGCAAAGGGATTTCCACTAAAGTTGCTAGAGATAGGCCAGAGTAATAGTACAGCAAGTAACATGCTTGCCTTGCATGCAACTGACCTGGGTTCTATCTCCGGCATCACATATGGTCCCCAGGCATCACTAGGAGTGATTTCTGAGAGCAGAGCCAGGAGCAACCCCTGAGCATCACTGGGTGTAGCCCCCAAACAAAGAAATAAATGAACATAGTTGCTAGACAGGGAGAATAAAATTCAGAAGCTTCACTGAATTTTTATAATATTTGAGGGGACATACCCAAAGGAGCTCAGGGAGCCAGACAGTTCCAGGGATCAATCTCAGGTTTGCCATATGCAAAACATGATTCTCTAGCCCTGTGAGTTATCTCTCAAACCCCAACTCACCCTCTGGAGAGAACTTCATATGCATGAAAATTATAGAATAAGCTATTTCAGTTTGGCCCATTTTTCTTTTCATCCACTGCCTGGGGCATCAATGTGTAGAGTACTTATTTCTATTGCCACATGTATACATGTGTGTGAATTGTATGAACTTGAAAGACCTTAGCACTAATGGAGAAATTTAGTTGTAAGAGTTTGGAGATACACAATAAAAGAGTGAGCGATGTATAGGATACTAACGTCACCAGTCATCAGAACTTTAATTAGATGTGTACCCACCAAGGGTGGGGGCAATGATGGAGACAGACATCCACTGTTTCTCAAGCCCTCCAGTCCCCACCCAGTGCTGCACTCTCTGCTTCAATTACTGGGACAGATATCTTTATCATCCAGTAGGCCCCCCGAATGTTCTCATGCTCACGCTGCAATTCTGGGTCCTCACCAGAGAAGTACCTCATCTGCAAGAGGGACTCTGATAGTTGTAGTGGCACTAGAGATTATCTGCAGGCCCCAAGAAGTTTGATTTTCACCATGTGTCTTCACTTCAAAATTTACCCCATGGCTAGACATGCTTCCATTGTTCCCCAGTGACATGCCTCCTCCATGGACTGATCCTCTAAGGCTTTCTCCACCCTTAGAGACACACCACTCCTTCCCCTTCACAAAGTCTCCTCCTGGCTGGCATTTCATTCACTCCTCCCAACTCTCCTTAGAATTGGGAATATTCTTCCTACCCAAAGATAAGAGTGCTTGGAGGGGAGGGGTGAGGGAACAGCGTAATAGTACAGTGTTTCATCCAAGCTCATACAACTGGTTTTATTTCAGGGATTCTGGGTGGAACATTTGGAATGTAATTCCCAGGACATGAGTGGCCCCTCTTCCTTGCTTGTAAAGCAAGAAGCAGAATATCTATAGAAATCACAAGGTTCATTTCATTTGGCAGTTATCTGGTTAATTTCATCAATGCGGCACTAAGTATCTTACTGGGATATCACACACCTAGAGCTTTGTCTAACCCTATTATGACTGACTTCTCTAGGCTGAGCACCAGCATGGCTCCACATCAGTGTTTTCTGGGAAGCTCGTATTTCTCAAGCTGGTCCCTGTCCCCCTAAGACCCCCTCCTGGGCAGTGGATAATAAGAATTCAACTTTTATTTGGAGCAAAAGTTCCCTGGGGGTCACATGGTCCAATAACAAAAGATTATGATTTCTTATTGGTTTAATAGCATCTATTTTGTAATTCCGAATGTGCTCTGTTTTAATTGGATTTGTTAAAGGAACAGAAGGGAATAGGTGCCTTACAATTAAAATAAAATATTAGGATTATTAGTTTAACAAACCAGAAGCCCCCTGTTTATCCACCGACACATTCAAAACATATAAACCAACAACACATGGGAAGCAGCAAAGTCAAAAACAAAGAAGAACAGGCAGTGACGGCACCTTCCCACCCAGGATCATCATGCAACATGGCTAAGGTACTGCTGGAGCAAGACACACATGACCTAGGGCTTCTTCCTCACAGCCATCATCTCCTTTGCCTATGAGGGATAAATACCAATAAATATTGACCTTCAAACCTAAGGGAAGAGTGTTTCAATTCTCATGGCAGATGC